GGCCGATTTTTCTCCGTGGATGTCAGCAGAGCTTTCCCAGCAGTCTTTTTTCGAGGTTTCTTTGAGAAGTCCCACCACTCCGGGTAGCCCATAATCTCGTAGCAGCGCTATTGCAAATGACCTTTTTCTCCGCAGTGGGTGCATACCAAGTTGTTAGACTTTTCAGATGATTGGTTGTTTTGATTGTTTGATGATCTAGCTGACTGTCCTTGTCGAGTTTTCTTGGCCAACATAGCCGAGTTCTCAAAGATTGGACGATAGCTCCCCATTGTCTGTTTTTATTGATATATTCTCCGGGCATATGCATATATGCTCTCTAAATCAAGTTTTGGGTCTTTTCGCAAGATTTCTCCACGAACCTAATCAAACTCAGAGTCAAGTCCATTTAGAAAAATATGAACTTGAAGCCTAGCCATTACGGAGTGCAACTGGAGTACCCTTTCGACTGTTCCTTCCTGAGATGTAGTTCTATTGATCAATTTCCTGGAAAATAACAAGAAGTTCATTATAGTATGTTGATAATGGTTGACCATTTTGCTAGGTAGAAAAAGATCTCTAGTTCAAATCAAAAATACAAGTTTCGTCTAACCCATCATAAAATGTTTTGGATACGGCCTCCCATATCTCCTTGGCGGTGGGGAGGTGAATAAAACGCTGCATTAGCGACAGACTCATTGAGTCAATAAGCCAACTCTTCACTCTGTGATTTTCAGTAATCCATGCTCCAAGATTGGGATCTCTAGATGCTGGTTTGTTTATTTCTTCGGTGAGATATCCAGCTTTGTTGCAAGCGCAAATACGCATTTCCATGAGTTGAGACCATAATGGGTAATTGGTCTCATCGAGTGTGATTCCGGTTGGAAACGCAGAATTGTCTTGGTGTACAATAATCTGCTGTGTTGGTGATGGGATGAGTTCGGTTGATGCGTTTGTAGTGGTAACCATCAGACTCACAGCGGCTTTATGAGGGTGATGAGCTTCGAGGGAAAAAAAATGTCTACGACTGTTTATTGTAGACTTCTTTGAAATCGAGCCTACTCTGATACCATGTCAAATAATAGAGTTTCTACAAAATTTTCCAATGTGTATTCTTCTCCAAAACAAAGGCAATATATAGATACTATTACATCCTAAAATTGGGTCCCAAAAATAGGAGAACAAATAATTTCTATACTTATATACATGATTGCTTAGCTAACCAGATTTCTAGGATTAATCTAATATTGTGTACAGCTCTTGCACACAGATGCCTTATGCAAAACATCACATTGATGACTTATACTTATTGAGCTCATTCAGAACGTCATTTACGTGTAGACATCATGCAAAACGATTACTATCGGAATCATACAGACTGTACATCATGCGTGAACTTCATACAGAGCAATTACTATTAACATCACATAGAACAATCATTGAAGATTGACAACAAACGGAATGTTTATAATGGATCAATGGCTTATATAGAATGCTGCATCGAATAATTAGAACATATTTCATAATCGTTGTTCACAAAATTCACATTTTTTTTATCACATATGCACATGTCAATTCTACACACACTCACACATGCTGATGTAATGCCCTAATTTCTTTCTAGGACATCTTATAGCTCATTTGGACGCGTGTGTGCGATATAACTCGTGCTTTGATACCACTCAGTCATGACCCAAACCCGCCCCCATAGGTTTAGTATCGTAACCGGTCAGTAATTCGTAGATTACCAAATGCCTCTTAAACAGAAAACAAATTATTAGGGGCTAGCGGAAACAAAATTCCTTTTAAAGTGGTGATTCAATTTCACAACAGGTCTACGTTTTACGCAGTCTCATTAACATCCTTATTTACTTAAGATCACACTTACATAAATAATTCAAATTACATTGTCTTTATGATTATTCCAATTCTTAGACCTATATAGATATATTAATTAACTTTGATCAATTGTCATAAATTCATATTATTCTTCACTCAACTTTGTTATAGAAACTCAATTCATTCTTCAGTCATTCAACAATTTATAATTTAATTCAGTATTCGATTAAGTGATTCTGTTCACCTATAATTCATCAAACTTTTCAAAACTTAACACATCTAGTAGTGCTTAAAAGTCTTATTTACTTCATTGAAATACCATGCAAAATATTCATATAGAATGACTTATTCAGAACACCCATATTGGTGACTCATACAGAACATCTCACTTGATGCTCTCAAACAATAAAGTTCCTGCAAAATTTTCCAATGTGTATTCTTCTCCAAAACAGAGGCAGTATATAGATTACTATTACATTCTAAAATTGGGTCCTAAAAATAGGAAAACAAATCATTTCTATATTTATATACATGATTGCTTAGCTAACCAGATTTCTAGGATTAATCTAATATTGTGTACAGCTCTTGCACACAGATGCCTTATGCAAAACATCACATTGATGACTTATACTTATTGAGCTCATTCAGAACGTCATTTACGTGTAGACATCATGCAAAACGATTACTATCGGAATCATACAGACTGTACATCATGCGTGAACTTCATACAGAGCAATTACTATTAACATCACATAGAACAATCATTGAAGATTGACAACAAACGGAATGTTTATAATGGATCAATGGCTTATATAGAATGCTGCATCGAATAATTAGAACATATTTCATAATCGTTGTTCACAAAATTCACATTTTTTTTAAAATCACATATGTATATGTTAATTCTACGCACATTCACACATGCTGATCTAATGCTCTAATTTCTTTCTAGGACATCCTATAGCTCATTTGGACGCTTGTGTGCGATATAACTCGTGCTCTGATACCACTCTGTCACGACTCGAACCCGTCCCTATAGGTTTAGCATCATAGCCGGCCAGTAATCTTGGGATTACCAAAGGCCTTTGAGACAGATTCACATAATATTAGTGGCTAGCAGAAGCAAATAACAAATATACAATGTTCGTTGAGCTGTGCAAACTTATACGAGACAGAACATTTTAAACTTTATATACATACATTTACACATCATCATATATATAGGCTAGACAAAAAAGGACTTAGCCCTAAATACAGAATAAACAAAAACGCTTGTTAAATCAAAACAAGAAAATAAAACTTAAACTTTATGCACATAGCCATAACCACTTGACTTATCCAGAACCTCCAAGGGAGGCACATAGGTTGGCTGACAAAATAGAGTCCAGGCAGAAGCTCTAGGCCTGGTCACGCACCTAATCACCTACATACATAAATATAAATAGTGAGCTGGAGCACAGTGAATAATCTCGATGTAAAGAGGTTAAATAAATGAGATCCATAACTTAAACAATAATGTTCTTAAAATAATTAAAGCATACTTCGGAAACATATAATAACTAATATTGATCATCAAATCTTTCCACAATTCGAAGTACCCAATTGCCTTATCAAAACTTGTCGGAATACCACACAGAAATTTCACGGCGGAACGAAACATTCGGAACGCCCTCATTGAGCGGCTTCATACAAAACGCCCACATAGGACGACTTCATGCAAAATGCCCATATAGGACGACATTATACAAATCGTCCTTATTGAACGACTTATGCGAAACATCCACTTGGGATGACTTGGTACAAAACGTCCATATAGAACGTGCTTATGCGAAACGCCCACTTCGGCGACTTTATTCAAAACATCTATAACAGGCATATATCATACAAATCAATACAATTGAAATCATGAGAAACGATCAATACAATTGAAATCATGCGAAATGATCATAAAAGATCGATATCATATATTATATCACAATGAGTCAATAACTTATACTGAACGTACATGACGAGTTGAATACTATACGGAAGTCATTGGGGATCAAAAGACATTTCCCAAGCTATTATCATAGTTATTATTTCAAAAGGAACTCATTCCTTCTTAAACAAATTCCATTTTTGAAAAGCTTATCATATCTTACTCATTCATTCCTAACAAAACCTCATTTTCGAAGACATATCGTATCGTACACGTTTTAGAGTTTCAAAGTATAACTTAATGGCTCCAAGGTTCTTGTTCACAAACGTATCGTATCAACACTTCATAACAAAACATAGGTGGCCCAAATTATCAAATAATCTAGTCATTCTCAAAATAATTCAGATACGAAAATATTTTTACAAAGAAATTACTCATAGTGCTTGGCCAGATAATACTTTTCGTGTAAGCATCCTATACAAACACGTAACATATACGCATTGAAACACAATATCACTTCCTTGATTCAACTTGGCTTCTCTTGTTTCTTTCTGTCTAAGTAATCCGAAGTTCTACTATACTTATTCTTTCTTTATTTAAATGAATCGAGTTCTCATTTCACATATTCTTTTATTACTAAATCCTTCTTTTCCAAATGGACCGTGTTAGGTTTTATTCTTGGCAACCCCGTTTGACAAAACTCCTTTCAGTTGTATTTATTTTCGCACTTTTTATTTCAGTGAGGTTATGAGTGTTTAGATGCAAATCCAACCCGAATTGTGCCTTTTTAGAGAAGTTTGTGATGCTAATGCTTTCAAGATTGCCACTTCGCTGATTATGACAGGCATCGAGTTGCCCGGTCAGCTCGCGGGGGTCGAGGGGGCATCGCCCCTTGGCGGGTCCGGGGCAGCGCCACGGCGGGGGCGAGGGGGAGCGCCCCCGAAGCAAAATGCATTTAAAATTGCCTGTCCGCTCGAGCGGACATACTAGCGCTCGAGCGTAGAATCCTTGGTTCCAGCAGTTTTGGTCGCCTGCAAAAGTACTGAGATGTGTGATTTTGCGCTCGAGCGGGTTCTCTAGCGCTCGAGCGGACCTCTGTTATAT